TATATATATATAGGTGTGCTAGTAATTAAAACAAGTATAATACCATGTACTAGTACATTTGTATAATCCTGTATTAACGGTTTCCTGAGATGTATAATGAAGTGAAATTAGACGGTAAAAATCCAGTATCGACTTTAAGAACAATTAATCTTTATATGAATTGTTCTTCAGAACACTTCATAGGGAGTTCATTCAAATTATATATCAAATTGTATATTTACATATTCTTTAATTTCACAGACCAATCTGAGGTGAAGAGCGCATTTGCCATGCCAAAGCCTTCAAGGAAAACGACACCACCCAAAGAGTCACCACAGGGACCGGTCTACGGTATCACAGGTATTTTGTTTTTGCTATTTCTCGCCGGCAGCGTCGTTTTCTCAGATTGCTTATCTATTGATCGACACACAAGACCCATGCGAAGAAACCTAAATTGCTTCTGGAAAAGGCACCTACGATTGAAGCGCAACGCCGTGCACGCCGTTAGGTGGGTCGAAGAGAGAGCGATTGAAAAAGGTCCAAGTAAAGTGATTGAAGGAAGTGATAATATGAAGTTCAGAAAGGCAAGAGGGGAAAGGAGAAGAGGACAAACCGGAACCGGAAGTGGGATTGAAGGTGAGACTGCTGGGAGAGCTGGTGGGGCGGGGTACTCACTGTCCGGACAGTAGGGTTCAGATTCAGATTCCTTTACTGATATACACCTGCAGTAACAAGTTAGAATCGTGGATGAAGGGTACAAACTGCGTCGTAAAATAAATGAATAAATGACACAAATATATCATTGATAAAGGACACTTGGGCTTTATATATGTACATGTAGAGAGCACTAGCTCTACTCATACATGTACATGTAGCGGCGGGGGTGAAGGAGTGAAGGGGGTGACCCCAACCTTATATGTGGGTATAAGAAGAGACGTATAGGCAGTGTTTACGGGGAATTGCGCAAATAACGTATAGAGGATAGTTCAATAGTTTGATGCATGTATAATAGTTGATTCATTATACAATTTATCGAGACCTTTTGACCTATAAGGTTTTAAAAAATTAAAGGGATAGCAACTCTTTATACGAGAAAATATAAATAAATATATTGTAAACAACTCATAGAAATACAGTAAATTCTATTTTCCACCAAAACGGTAGAAATCGCAATTATTCTGGAATCTCTGCTTGCCAATGGACCACATGGCCTCCATAGATGGCTAATTTTCGAAATCTCAGATATAATTAGATATCATTACAAAAAAAAAAAAAAAAAAAAAAAAAAAGAAAAAGAAACATCTTTATCGAAAAAGATTCGTCAACCACTGTTAGGTTTGGGAAAATTTTCGTTTACCCCAAGAAAATATTTGGTCAAAATGAACAGCTGTTATCCTTTTTTATAACTTAATGTGCATTAGTTTAATACTTGTTTAAGAATTAATTAATCAGAATTTATTGAGATCTTCTTACGAAAATGTTTTGAATACTTAATCACTTAATGTACTTTACTTTAATGAATGTGTCAGAATTAATTATTGAATTATATTTATTGAATTCTTTTTATGAATTAGTTTTTGACGTTGTTTGTGATCTTTCGATTATCTGAAGTTGAGTAAGTTGTAGTTACATACTTTAATTTTGTGTATTTTAATATAACGTATCCTTATCGTACATTTTATATAGAGACATTAATGTGGAATATTTTTCTTTGGTTACAAAAAGGTAGAAATCCTAATTATTCTGGAATCTTTGCTTGCCAATGGACCACTTGACCTCCATAGTTGGCTTCTTTTTGAAATCTCAGATATAATAAGATATTATTACAAAAAACAAACAAACTTTTTCGAAAAAGATTCGTTAAGCATTGTTAGGCATGGCAAAATTATTGTTTAATTACCCCAAGAAAATCTTTGGCCAAAATGAACAGTTCTTATCCTTTTTTTAATTACTTAATGTGCATTAGTTTAATACTTGTTTAAGAATAAATCAATCAAAATTTATTGAGATCCTCTTACGAAAATGTTTTTGAATACTAAATCACTTAATGTACATTACTGTAATAAATGTGTAAGAATAAATTATTAAGCCATATTTATTGAATTCTTTTTATGGATTAGTTGTTGACATTGCTTGTGATCTTTCGATTATCTGAAGTTAGTAAGTTGTAGTTACATACTTTAATTTTATGTATTTTAATATAACGTATCATTATCGTACATTTTATGTACGGACATTAAAGTGGGATATTTTTCTTTGATTACAAAACGGTAGAAATCGTAATTTTTTCTGGACTTTGTGCTTGCCAATGGACCACATGACCTCCATAGATGGATACTTTTTGAAATCTCAGATATAATATCATATTATTACAAAAAAAAAAAAAAAAGTTACGAAAAAGATTCATCAATCATTGTTAGGTATGGGAAAAATGCCGTCTACCCCAAGAAAATCTTATGCCAAGTATAGATAAAAGATAAACCTTCCCTGAATTGAACCCGTGCTGCCTGGGTGAAAACCAGTAATCCTAGCCACTAGACCATACCGGACTACACATCCCCTTGCTAACTATCAGGGTTTCATGTCTGGGATAATTCCAACTCCAAAGATTAGGAGGGAGATGACGATTTTTGTTTTGCAAAATTGCTCGCTTAATTCTCCGTCTGTCGTTTTGCAGGTGCTCCATTTAACCCAGCACCTATCGAACTAGACAGATGTAGAAAAACACGTTTTAATTAATAGCATCAAAAACATTTCTTCAACATTTAAAATTGGAATCAAAGGAACTGCTTCCGGTACGGGGAATCGAACCCGGTTGGCCTGGGTGAAAACCAGGAATACTAGCCACTAGACCATACCGGACTGCGTATTCTACTCATTAATTATATATAAAATTTCCTGGGATAATTTCAACGTATTCCAGAGACTAGGAAGGAGATAGCGAAAAAATTTTTTTTGCAAAGTTCCTCCCTTAATTTCTCTATCTAACGTATTACAGCTGTTCCATTTAATCGAGCACTATCAAACTAGATTGGGGTAGAAAAGCACGTTTTAATTCACAGGATCAAAAATCTTTATCCAAAATTTAAATATCACAAACCCGGACCGCTTGGTTGAAAACTAGGAATCCTATCCACCAACTGTAGACCGTACCAGAGATACTTGTCATATGGAAATCATAAATACTCTTCGTATGGGGCTCTAAATTCCACTATAAATACATTGTAAAAGAAATATATAGACACACATAGAAATATAATAACCATGACCCTAGTCATTTACTTCCTGATGATGGTGACTGACAGTCACAGAAATATTGGAGGTAATACCCACATATTTTATAAGGTCTTGATAAAAAGAAAAACGATAATTTAAATTGATACATACAGAGCTAATAAAACTGTTCTCTTGTAATATGTTTAGTCTAACATCTTTATGTATTCTTATAAGGCTTGTCTTGCAGCCGTGTGTTGCCGTCTTTTGGACGTTTCCAGGGAGACTTTTGCCTCGTTTTCGTCCACTTCATATCGAAGGCCCTCTTCCTAATGAGACTTTTTTTCCTGGCAACGAAGTCGGATGCCAAGTTATTACTGTACTGTTCCATAGAAGTTTACTGTTTTTTCCTCTGGATGAACGCCATTGCATTCGAAATCGTCACTGACATCCGACCGATCGGAAGGGTCGAGAAAACGGTTCCTCATGTAAATGTACCTCATTGCCAATTTGTTACACTGTATCCGATGTTATGTGGTATATTTTTATTGCCACTGCCACATTGGATGGTGTATATATTTTTCTAGCAATCGTGTGTACTAAGAGAGTATGAGAGTGTGGGAGGAACTGAAGAAATTTAACGGGATGAAAACTTGCCATTGCACCTTTAATTCCACCCCGCTAAACTCTGTCTCGTCAAAGGCGTGTAGAAACAGCACGCTGTGGAAGAAATGAAAAGAAGCACAGAAGTTAGCTCGATTTGATACCATCTTCACACACCTGAGGAAAAGGAAAATGAATTCTATTTTCTTTGCTTGTGTGCTTTTTAAATTAATTTGCTCAGACTCGAAAATGTTCTAACAAAAATTCATTTTCTCGTAAATAATAAAAATCATCATGTTGAAAATAAAAAAAGTGACAGCTGCTAAATGTTTGTTTTGCAGCTTTTAATTGGCAAGTTTAAAATCTTTTTTTTTTTTTTTTTTTTTCA